CTCCCCGCGCCCCCCGCCCCGAGCTGGCATCTTGGCGCGACATTAATGAACTCGCCTGTTTGTGCTCCCCCGGCCCCTCTCTCCTCCCACCGCCCGGGGGGCACTGTATATATCCATCCCTCCTCACCCGCCTCGGGCATTTCGGGGGCTCCCCCCTCCTGCCCCCCTTTGCCCGCCCGGGGATGGAGCGAGGAGGAAAGAGGACGCGGGGCACTCTCCTCGGGGTCCACCTGGTCCCCCCCCTGCTGCTGCTGCTGCCGCCGCTGCTGCAGCTGGCGGGGGGAGCCCCCCTGGGCCAGGGGCTGTACCCCATGCCAGCCAGCGTCCTGCAAGGTCAGTGGGGCATGGGGATGGGGGCATCTTTGCGGGAGGGTTTGGCTGCAGATGGGGCAGCTGGAGGAGCCAGGACTCCTGGGTTCTCTCTTGGGAAGTGGGAGAAGCTCAAGGAGGATACCTGGGTCACTGGCAAAGCCTCCCTAGCACCCAAGGTGTGCCCACGCTGCCCATGGCACTTGGGGACATCGAGGTTGCAGGGAGTGGTGTGGTTCGTGCCCGTGGCCACCGGCTCTTCCTCCTGCCTCGGTACCTGTGCCAGCCCCTGGGGACCCTCTGCTGGGACACAGTCAGCAGGAGGGCGGCTGTGGGTGGGTACGGGTGGGCACAGGTACAGGCACACGTAGGGATGCACATACAGGGCACACACAGGATTGCACATACATGCAGACATGGACACAGACCCTGGCACACACAAGTGTGCACCCACAGGTGTGCACAGAGGTATATGCACACAAACATACATGGGCACACCTGTCCGGGCTCACACTCTGCTCCATTCCCATGTTTGCACAGACGTGTGCTCACAGGGTCTCCATGTCCAGCGGGCACACATAAACCCGGGCAAACACCCTGTGCCCATGTGCTAACCCCAGCAGGGAGGTGACACTTGTGCCTGTCACCCTAGGCAATGCCACCGGGTGACAGGCCATGTCCACCATGGAGATATCAAGGCATGAGCACCGGGTGGGCTGGGGGCATCCTGTGGCTGTGGTGGGGGGCAGTGGTGGGGAGGCAGGGGTCTGAGCACCCTGTGTGTGCCCGGCAGCACTATCAAGCCGGGGGACGCTGGTGCTGGAGGCGGCACTGAGGAGCGCGCTGCTGGCACTGGAGCGGGCACTGGCCGAGCAGCAGAGGCAGCAGGGCATCTGCGGGCTCTGTGCCCCCTGCCTCTTCCCCCCCTGCGCCAACCTCACTCGCCGCTGCCCACGTGAGTCACAGCCCCATGGGCCCCACTGCCCCATCCTCAGGAGACCCTACCCAAACAGATCCCGAGGTCCCCACCCAAACGCTGCACAGGGTCCCTACCCAGATGCTGCTAGGGGTCCCTGTCTAAATACCATCCCATGCCCAGGAGACCCTACCCAAACAGACCCATGCCTAGAGACCTTTTCCAAATATTTCTTTGGGTCCCTACCAAAGCATCGCCCCATCCTCTATAAACCCTAACAAAACGATGCCCCGAGACCCTACCCAAACAGCACCCCCTCCCCTATAGGCTTTACCCTATAGGCTTTACTCAGACAGCACCCAGACTCCCGAAACATATCCCTAACTGCTAGAGACCCTACCAAAACACCACCCGGGGACTCTGCCCAAGCAGTTCCCCACCTTCTCTAGATCCTACCAAAACATCACCTGGAGCCCTACCCAAAACGTTGCCCGATTCCTTATCTCCTTCCCAGAGATCTCCCGCCCAAAAGATATCTCAGTACCCAGGATACCCTACCAAAATATGCCAACACCACAGCCCCATCATGCCACCCCAAAGCAGACCCTAATGTGGCCTGGGGGGAGTCAGGCAGGGAGGACATGGGGATGCTCACAGCCCTGCTATCCTTGCAGCGCCAGCCGTGCCCCCTGCCATGCCCCCCAGCTGCCAGGTCCTGCTGGATGCCCAGGCACTGCCCGAGCTGCCCCAGCGCAACTGGGCACTGAGCCAGGCCTGTGCCCCCTACCATCGCCTGTGCCCACCCGAAGGGGTCCAGCACACCTGCGCCCTGCTCAGCGCCCGGCTCTGCCGCCACCGCCTCCAGGAGTGCCGTGAGTGGGCACCCGCATCGCCCCTGGCTCTTCCTGGAGAGGGGAGACCCTACAATGGCAAACGGGGCATCCCCAAGGCACACCTGCGATTGCCAGGAGGGGATATGGGCCACTGGGGGCAACAGGGGGTGCTGGGGTGGGGACACCAGGGAGGTGGGGGTACGGGAGGGTGATGGGGGATCTCTGGTGGGATGGGGAGATTGTAGGGGACGGGAGGATCTGGGGTGAGATGCAGAGATTTGGGGGATGGAGGCATTGGACCTGATGGAGCAGACTGGGGGGGATGGGACATCAAGGGGTGATGGAGAACCTGGAGTGGGAGAGGGAAGTGTGGGGGAATGGGACAAGGTGGGGGTGACAGAGAGATTGGGGACACCGAGGCATTGGGTTGACAAGGACACCTGGGGTGGGACAGAGGTGCTTGTTCAGGATGATGGGGATCTGGGGGGGCACTGAGAGGAGCTGGAGGGAATTGGGGACAGCAGGGACATGGTGGTGACACTGGGGGAGTGGGGGTGGCGTGCTATGACAGCCTGTCCCTGTAGGGATGGCAGCTGTGGCTCCCGGCACTGATGCACCAGCGGAGGCGGCGATGCCAGGTGAGCTGGAACGGCCCTGCTGTGCCCACGCCACCCCCCCACCAGGCTGGCGGGTACCCCCAGCCCCCCAGCTGCCTGCTGGGCTGGGGGGCAGAGGTTAGCGTCGGCAGCTGCCGGGCTGCGGGGTGCCCCCGGCCCGCCGCCCGCTCGCCTCCGTGAACACGATGAAGCTTGACAGCACGCCCGGCGCAGCCTGACCCCCCTCCCGGGGGTCGCCCGCCACCCCCTCTGCCTGCCACAGCCATCCCGACACTGCCGTGCCCAGCCACCCCGTGCCCGCCCAGGAGAGGGGGTGTTCCGGCAGCGGGGCTGTGGGACAACCCCCCTCACCCTGGCTTTGTTCCCCCCAGGGAGCTGCGGACATCGTGGGGGCCCCCAAGCTAATGCCACAGCCCCCCGAGGACGGATCATGGGTGGCAGCGTGGCCCCACGGGGTGGCTGGCCCTGGCTGGTGTCGGTGCGGCTCCACGGGGAGCTGATGTGCGGAGGGGTGCTAGTGGGGCACTCCTGGGTCCTCACCGCGGCCCACTGCTTTGCTGGGTATGGTGGGGGCACAGCAGTGTAGGGATGCTGTCCCTACAGAGGGGGGCACGGGGTGGCACCCTTACACCCCCTTAACTCACTGTCCCCCCGTCCCACCAGGAACCGGAATGAGCTGGCGTGGACGGTGGTGGTGGGCGACCACGAGCTGGGCAAGCTGGATGCTGGCGAGCGAGCCGTGCCCGTCCGGCGCATCCTGCCTCACCCCAAGGTTGGTGGAGGTGGGCACCCCCCAACCTCCTTGTGCCTGCCCCAGACTGCCCCCCCAACACTCCCCTGTCTCCTTCCAGTTTAACCCCAAGACATTTCACGGCGACCTGGCGCTGCTGGAGCTGGCGGTGCCACTAGCCCCATCACCCACCATCAGCCCCGTCTGCCTGCCCAGTAGCCCTGCAGAGCCCAGCCCAGGCACTGCCTGCTACATCGCGGGCTGGGGGTCCCTCTATGAAGGTAGGTGGCACCCCAACACCCATGGGGGTCTGTGGAGCATCCCCTTCAGTGCTCAGTGCCAATGCACCAAGCCAGGGCAGGGGGGTGCAAAAGAGAGGGGGGTGCCCAGGCATGGAGGACTCCATAACGGGTGTCTTGCCCAGCAGAGGGGCCGGCAGCCAATGTGGTGATGGAGGCACGGGTGCCCCTGCTCAGCCAGGAGACATGCCGGGGTGCCCTGGGCAGGGACCTGCTGACCAGTGCCATGTTCTGTGCCGGGTACTTGTCCGGGGGCATTGACTCCTGCCAGGTAATGTCCGGGGATGGGGTCTGCCAGACCCAAAACTTGAAAACTCTCATGCATCTCAACCTGGCAGCGCTGTCGGGGTCCCACCTCCAACTGACACGTCGGCATCCCCCCTCCCAGGGTGACTCGGGGGGCCCGCTGGCGTGCCAGGACCCCTCCTCACACCGCTTCGTCCTCTACGGCATCACCTCGTGGGGTGACGGCTGCGGTGAGCGGGGCAAACCGGGCGTCTACACCCGCGTTGCTGCCTTCGTGGACTGGCTCAGCCTCCAGATGGACCGTGAGTGCCACCGGCCGAGACGAGGGGGGGACACAGAGGTGGCCACAGGCACCCGGGATGCTGCAGGGGTACATCACCCCGGGGAGGGGCTGAGCACCTCGTGACAACCCCGGTGCCCTCACAGCCCCCCTCGGCAGCCGAGAACCGAGCTGCTTCGACCTGCTGGCGCTGGCCCAGCTGCCTCCCGAGGAGCAGCCCCCCGAGCGTGCCCGCCTCTGTGCCTTCTATGCTGGGTCCTGCCGGGCCCCCCAGGGCCGGGCCGCCTGCACCCACCTGGCCGAGGAGACCTGCCGCGCCAGGACAAGGCGATGTGGTGAGCCAGGGGGGCCATGCTGGTGTGAGGGTGCAGGGAGGGACCCCGTTTCTGGTGGCATGGTCTGGTGCAGTGCCGGGGCCATGGCTCTCCTGCTGCACCTGCAGAGCTGCACTCCTACGCCCAGACCTTGGTGGATCTCCTGCGCCGGGCTGGGGACTTCATCCGAAACCAGTTTGACTTCTCCTTCCTCACCCACACCCTGCCCCAGCTCCTGGGCAAGATCTATGGGCATCTCTTCCCCCCACGCGTCCGCAGGGATGTCCCAGGTACCCTCCCGGCTTGGGGTCCCATCAGTCCCCCCTATGCCGGTGGCCAGGGCACCAGCAGCCTGCCCTGGCAGCCACATGGGATTCCCCTACCCCTCGTCCCTCTTGTTCCTTTCTTGTCCCCACAGGCCTGGCTGTGGCACGGGGCCAGTCCAGCCCCACAGCAGAGGGACCCCGGAGACCCCCAACCAGGTAAGACATGGTGGGCTACAGGGCACAGGGAAGCTAAAGGGTTTGGTGGCAAGATATTTTGGGGACAGCATTGGGGTCCTGCTCTTCCCGCAGAGGGAGGTGGACACAGCCCCCCGGGCTGCCCAGGTCCCACCAAGGACGTGCAGGTTGGAGGGTGGCCCTGTGCAGGGGATGGGTGCCACCGGGTGCCTGCCTGAGCTCTCCCTGCTGTGCTTGCAGGCGGGGTGCAGGGGGGCCACCCCCCTTCGCAGGGCTCTTCAGGACTGTGGGACCCCAGCTGCAGGACTGGGTGGAGGCACTGAAGGCCATGGCGGGGGGCAGCCCACCGGCACCCACCCTGGACGGGGGGCAGCTCCCCGGGGAGACGTGGCTCTTCTTGCAGGTATTTGTGGAGAGATGGGCTGGGGGGAGCCCCTGCCTGTCTGGTGACAGTGCTACCAGGGGCCAAAGCCCATCAGTCCCCCTGTGTCCCCTCCTGACATCCTTTGGGACCATTGTTCCCTGTGCAGCCATGGAGGTGGCATCTCCCACTCTGCTACCACAGAGGGGCCATCTCCCCCTGCCCAGCTGAAACCAGTACTCCCAATCCAACCAGTGCAGTGCTAGCCATGGGTCAACTCCACAGCTTGGGATCTGACCCAACACATGATGTCACATGTCCCCAGTGCCCCATCTGACACCAGCCCAGCAGTGCCCTGTGCTCTGCCTACTGTGTACCTTACCATGCCCACAGGTACCCCATGGGTGCCTCACTACCCACCCTGTCACCCTCTTCCCTTCAGCAGGGCAAGGAGGTGGTGGAGGAGCTGGTGGGACAAGGACGCGCCTTCCTCACCCAGCTGCGGGCAGAGCTGGAACTCGGCACCACTCTTGAAGCCACAGAGCTGCAACGGGCACCTGGAGAGCTGGCGGGGACCCCCATGACAAGCCGTGAGCCCAGGAGCCTGGGGGGGCTGGGGCTGATGGGCCAGTGGGGTGTCCATCCATGTCCTGGCCATGCCCACTGGCCATGTCCCCACCAAGTTTTTCACACCTCTTCTGTTGGTAGGGTCCACACCGAGGGAGAAACGTGAACTGGTGCCCACAGAGCTGCCAGGGGTGGAGGAGGAGGAGGCAAGTGCAGGCAGAGGTAAGCACCCCACAGCCCCTGGCCACTGCGGGATGCCACCTGCCACTATGGGATGGTGGCAAGCCCAGCCTCAGCTCCGCACTCCAGTCCCAGGGCTAACTGTCCCAGGTTGGTGGGACAGCCCTCAGCCATACCTTCCTCCACATGGACCCTCTGCCCCTGCTCCCCCAGTGTCCCCAGAGCATGGGTGCTCCTCCCTGGGGCAGGCAGCAGCATGGTGCCCCCGTGGCTTGTCCCACCCCTCAGTGCACCCCTGATGTCCCTTCTCCATCTCTCTTCTGCCCACCCTGGTCTTGCAGCCTGCCCCGGCCTCAACGAGTCGGTGGTGCGGGTGGGTGCAGTGCGGGAGCTGTACGCCTGGGTGCTGCGGGTGCCCGAGTCAGACCTGGCCATGACCTTCCAGGAGGTGAGTGCCCCATCCAGCTGCTCTGAGCCCCCTGCCCCAGCAGCCAGGTGGTGCCACCCCCAGACCATCACCATCCTGCCATGCCCCTGCCCACTCTGGGACTCACAGCGTTGTCATCTCCCCACAGATCCTGGTGGACTTGGGCTCCAAAAACGCCAAGGGGCTGTACCGGGCGCAGGTGCGGGCCACGGTAGGGGGCCGCCCCACGGCCTTCACTGGCCTTGTGGGGCTGGAGAGCGACTCACTGGCCCGCAGCATGCCCGGCCTTGTCGCTCTGGCACTTGAGACACTGAAAACCTAAAGTTGTCCATGGTGTCCTGGGTCATCATGCCAGCATGGGGACAGGGGAGTGGGGCAGGGATCTCTCATGTCCTTTGAACACAATTCCCTCCCTGACTCAGGCTCATCCACCCCTTTGTCCCCCATCGTGCCTCAGTTTCCCTCTTCCCACCAGCACTGCCCAACATCCCCCAAGCTAATGGGGTGCGAGGGGGCACCTGGTGCATCTCAGATGGTGATTACACCCCTCCTCTCCCCTGGGACCCTCATCTTGGCAAGCCTGCCCCCCTTCCCTAGAGATTGTTATTTATTTGTACAGAGAAAGGTTTATTTTTCAATAAAGAAGGGCTCTATTTTCCAGTAGCTGGCGAGTGTGAAGCGAGTGCTGTGCTACATAGTGCCAGCAAGGCGGGCACCAGCGGGCGGACTTTCCACAGGGGATCCCATTGCATCCCCCTTCCCCTTCCCCTGTACCCCAAAGCAACGCCCCCAGCCTCGGTTCCTGCCCCTGGGCATCAATGGGTGCCAACCCCTCCTGCTTCTGGGCACCCTGCCGCCCCTGAGCAGCATCACGTGGGGAAGGGACTGCTCCTCCCAGTGCCCAGCAATGCCTGTGGTGGGGTGCCGAGAGGCAGGGTGATGGGCTGACACCCGTGGGGCCGGCGAGGCCAGCTGTGCCTGCCTGTCTCCCCTTCTCCAGGCGCGGGGGGTGCCGGAAGAGAGGGGTGGGAGCCAGTATCCGGTGCTGGCACCCTTCCCCCTCGGCACCTGGCACCATCCATCTCCTGCTCCGGCCGGCAGCCGGACATCCGCTCGGCCAAGCCAGGCGGGGAGGTGGCCAGGGCCTGGCACTGCGTGAGGGCACTGAATGGGGGACCTGCCGGGGCGGCTGGCCCTGCTTGGGGCGCTGGTGCTGTCGGGTGAGCGGGGCCCCAGGGTCTTGGGCACGGGGTTGCCTCACTGGGGGTGGTTCTGGACCCCCTCGATGGGGTTGGTGGGGGGTGATGGTGGTGGGGTCCAAGCTGGTCACAGGTGTCCCCAGGGATGCATTTTGGGTATCGCCTGGCTGAGTCCTATCACTGAGCATCCCCCGCACTTCTGTCCTGGCTGTGCCACCCAGAGCCTGGGGCTGGTGTGTGTCTGTCTGTGCACAGTGTCACTGTGTCTGTGTGTCCCTCTGTGTGCCTGTCTGTGTGCGGTGATGCATCTATGACCACGTGTCCCTGCATATACCGGGTCCATGTGTGCCTCTGTGTGTGTGCATCCACCTGCGTGCACAGTGCTACCCTGTCTGTACCCACACGTCTCGTGTCTGTGTGTCCCTGTGTGTCCTGGGTCTGTATCTGTGTGTCCTGGGTCTGTATCTGTGTGTCCCTCTGTGTCCGTGCCCACATATTTGTCCCATACTCACGTGTGTTCGTGTACCCACGCGTGTGTGTCATTCCTGTACCCTGTGTCCATGCCTCTGTGCAGCACAGACATGCAGTGTCCTGGCCTCCTTCTGTCTCCTCCATCCTTACACCACCTTGTCCTCACCAAACATCCCACTGGGCCCAGTAACCCCCCTAGCCCTCCAGTTTGCCTGACCCCACATCCCTAGGTGGGCTCTGCGTGAACCAGGAGGAGCGTCTCATTCACCACCTCTTCGAGGAGAAGGGTTACAACAAGGATTTGCGCCCCGTCGTCTCCACCGACGAGGTCGTGGATGTCTACCTAGCCCTCACCCTCTCCAACCTCATCTCGCTGGTGAGCCCCAGCAGACAGTGCCCACCGTGGGGTAATCTCCAGCCATGCCTCACCCTCAGGGCTGGCTGGGAAGGGGGAGCCTTGGGGCCACTGTCCTGAACTGGTGAAGGTTGGGGATCCTGGGCTGCAGCGGAAAGGCTGCTGGCCATGGCCCTGGTGTCTCACTGCCCCATGCTGTCATTGCAGAAAGAGGTGGACGAGACACTCACCACCAACCTATGGCTCGAGCATGTGAGTAGGGACAGGTGTCATGGCACCAGTTGTGCCCTGAGGCATGGGCAACGGGGTGGGCCAGCATGGTGATGGGGTGACCTGGGCATCCCCCTTCCAGGGCTGGACCGATTACCGCTTGCAATGGAACAAGTCTGAATTTGGGGACATCGAGGTGCTCCGCCTGCCGCCGGACATGCTGTGGCTGCCTGAGATAGTCCTGGAGAACAAGTGAGCTGTGCCTCAGTTTCCCCTTCTGAGTCCCCTGAGCTGTACCTAGGGCTTCCTCTGACCCTCACTGGCCCTACCATCATCTTGGTTTTCACTCGGTGCAGCAACGATGGGCTCTTTGAGATCGCCTACTACTGCAACGTCCTCATCTACAACACGGGCTACGTCTACTGGCTGCCACCCGCCATCTTCCGCAGTGCCTGTCCCATCAACGTCGACTTCTTCCCCTTTGACTGGCAGAACTGCACCCTCAGATTCAGGTGCTGGGGGGCAGCTGGGGCAGGGCAGGGGTGGGCAGCAGGGCGGGCATCCCAGCCCCCTGCTGCCAGCACCTGCACCTGTTGGGGCACAGCAAGATGGGGCTTTGTAGGTGACTTGGTGGCCTAAGTTCATCATGCTGGAGGTCAGGGTGGGTGGGTGGTGGCTAACAAGCAGCAGGCACAGCCCCTCACTGCCTGTCTTCCCCGGCTGCGGGACAGCTCACTGGCGTACAGTGCCCTGGAGATCAACATGCACTTGAAGACGGATAACGACCCGGAGACGGGCAAGGATTACCCTGTGGAGTGGATCATCATCGACCCCGAAGGCTTCACCGGTAATGCTTGTGCTCTCTGCTATGTCCTGTGGCAGCAGGACACCCTGTACGGGGCTTGGGGGCACCCTGCCACGGAGATACCCAAATACCCGGGGATTTGGCACCCATCCCACCAGGCTTGGAGTTACCCAGACCCAGGAGGGGGAGGCTGGGGTGCTAGTGGGACTGGTGAGGATGGACGTGGTGGGGCCCCCCCATGCCATGCGCTGTCCCATATGCCCTGGCAGAGAACGGGGAATGGGAAATCATCCACCGCCCAGCCCGCAAGAACATCCACCCTGAAAACCCCCCTGAGACCAGTGAGCACCAGGACATCACCTTCTACCTCATCATCAAGCGCAAGCCACTCTTCTATATCATCAACATTGTCACACCCTGCATCCTCATCGCCTTCATGGCCATCCTTGTCTTCTACTTGCCCGCTGACAGTGAGTGAGACCCACAGCACCCATGTCGAGCATGGGGGTCACCCTGTGGGGCACCTCCATGTCCCACATCTGCACCAGGTCCTGAAACATGGGACACCCCAATGCCCAGCATGGGGACATCCTGGTACTGGGACACCCTCACACAGGGCATCCTCATCCCAGCCAGGCACCCTGGCAGGGGCACACTTGGGCACAGGACACCCTATGTGGGACCCTGGGGTACACCCATAATAGAAAACCCTCCATGGGGCACTGTATGGTGGGACACTGGGAAAGCAATCTTGGCACTGGGAGGGGGACCTGGAGCAGGGTTTACCTTGAGCTCACCTGCTCTCCAGGTGGTGAGAAGATGACCCTGGTGATCTCGGTGCTCTTGGCCCAGTCCGTCTTCCTTCTGCTCATCTCCCAGCGCCTGCCTGCCACCTCCCACGCCATTCCTCTCATTGGCAAGTGAGTCCCAGGCACTGCTGAGTGCAGCGGGGACATCACAGGGCCCTCAGGCTGTCAGAGGGCATCTCTGCCTGTGCCCAGCCCCTGTGGCAATGCCAGACCCAGGTGTGTGCCCCCCACAGGTACCTGCTTTTCATCATGCTGCTGGTGACGGCTGTGGTGATAATCTGTGTTGTGGTCCTCAACTTCCATTTCCGTACCCCCAGCACCCATGTCATGTCTGACTGGGTTAAGGAGGTGAGCGGGGTGCTGGGCTGAGGTGGGTGACCTGGTGGGTGCAGGGATGGCACCATGCCCTGCAGAAGACATGGGACAGCACAGCCCCAGCATTGCGTTGGGATGTCCCATCTGCACCACTCCAAGAGATTGAGTGCCCAGGTTGAGGGCAGAAGGTGAGGACAAGGTGTCCCAAGGGGGTGGCTGAGGGACCTGATGTCCTCTCCCTGTGTCCCAGGTCTTCCTGGAGAGCCTGCCTCGCCTGCTGGGCATGTCGCAGCCGGCCGAGAGCCCAGTGGGTGCCCCGTGCATCCGGCGCTGCAGCTCGGCCGGGTACATCGCCAAGGCGGAGGAGTACTTCAGCGTCAAGTCCCGCAGCGAGCTCATGTTCGAGAAGCAGTCGGAGCGTCACGGGCTGGCCAGCCGTGTCACCCCCGCACGTGAGTCACAGGCCCGCCATGGGGACACAGGGAAGGGCAGCAAAGTGGGCTCTCCAGGGGGAGCAACCCTTCAGAGCCATCTCACCACCTTCTTCCACCCCAGGTTTGGCACCGCTGGGCGCGGACACAGGGGAGGAGCAGCTCTACGAACACATAAAACCTGTCATTGATGGTGCCAACTTCATCGTTAAGCACATGCGGGACAAAAACAGCTACAACGAGGTGGGGGCTGTGGGCATGGTGGGGGGTGCACAGAGGGGGGGTCCCTGTGCTGCTGTGCCCCCAACTGCCCAGCTCCTGGCTTCCTCCCCAGGAGAAGGACAACTGGAACCGTGTGGCCCGGACCCTGGACCGCCTCTGCCTCTTCCTCATCACCCCCACACTGGTGGTGGGCACCCTCTGGATCTTCCTCATGGGCATCTACAATCATCCCCCACCACTGCCCTTCGCCGGAGACCCCTATGACTACCGGGAGGAGAACAAGCGCTTCATCTAGGGGAGTGGGGGGAACCCATGTGCAAGCCCCCCCTTTGTCTGCCTTGGCTGGGGAAAATAAAGCTGGGTACTTCATGCCATGGGGCACTGAGATGGTGGCTGCTCTTGCTGTCCCCCCCGGACACAGTGCCCACCCTGAGCGCTGGGTGTGTGCTGGGGAGGGTGATGCCCACCCAGGGAATGGGTGCTGTTGGGTGTCCTGAGCATGGTGGTCCTCAGCTGTAGCTGGAAGGGAACAGAGAAGATGTGGTGGCACCAGCCCTGCTACACCCATTGGGTACTCGGGATGGGATGGAGAAGGGGATGGACCCCCCACCCCAGCACTGCACCATCCCCTGCAGACCCACTGCAGTGGGCAGAGATGACATCAGTGCCTACATCACCCCCTGTCCCCGTGA